CCTTGTAGTGCGTAAATAGTAGTAGATTAAAATTTCGGTTAGCATATTTACGGTTGCCTCTCTTACGAGATTCATCGCTTCCGTTTATGAATTGTGTACCGAACTCTTATTCTTTTACTAGGAGTTCTATTTGCCTCTTTCTACCCTTCAAGTTTCGTTCTTGTACTTAATAATTGTGATGGCAATTATGTCGATAATTGATATATCTCAAGGTTCTAAATTTGAGTAGAAAGAAACAATACCTACACTGATTTTGTAAACTAATTTTAGCTCTTCTGGCATACTTTAAAGAGTTCCTTTAGACTAGGTATCAACTTAGCATGCTACGGTCAAAAGCATTTGGAAGTAACCACTCCTCTTTGGTTATATATAAGCGTTCCATGGAGGTTAAGGGATAATTTTTGGTTCCTGATACTAGCGATGGCAGGTTAAATGATGGTGACCGTTATGATGTGCTGTCATCACTGCGGAAAGTGGCACGACATTGAAGAAATAATTTAGGCCACTTGAAAAGTTCAAAGTTGAGCAGAAAATCGTAACTTCTTATCCATGAATAAGTTGTCATGGGAAGTCAGCCACGTGATTATCGACATATGACGTGGTTATTATGTACGGTCTCCCAAAATGTGTGGGGTAAGAAATCCTGACACGAGTAAACTAATAAACATTATGCGCACTCGAACATTCTGAAGGGTGCTAGCAGAGGACTTTTCAGATGATTAGTCATTAATTTTTGTTCAAATCATGTTAAATGTATTCAACTACGAGTCATGTTTACTGTGAGAATACTTTCAATAAATGCCTTACTCGCTATACGACAACGACTTCTCTATCATTGAGATAGCTTCACTCGTTCAGAATCCTATCCATACTAGAATATTTTGCTGTGGTGATTACTAAGGATAAGTCCAGGCTTTTTCGTGTAGCCGATGACGACAACTGATCTTTCTGATGGCCAGATATTGATTGGCAGGTGTTATCCATTGGTCTTTAAACTATGATACCTCCCAACTTGAGTAGTTTGCTAAAAATTTCAAATTTCCTTGGACAACTAATTTATAAAAAACCTCCGAATTTAGTTTCTCAGCTTCAGTGCAATTCATTTTCAAGCGTTGTGTAAAGTTATTTATCACAAATAAACGAAAATTCATGGCTTTATTGTCATCCTGAGTATTTCATTTTTGAAAGCAATATAAATTTTATTTTAATATTAATAATAATAATAACCGCACTTTAATACCTCGAGTTAACTTCGATTTAAAGAATTCTTTTGGGTTACTGCTACTGGCCTAAGAATGAGTTTTACTCATTGGCAATTGGGAGAGAAAATCGATCTATGATTTAGGATGAAACACTAATTACTTTCGCTTGCAACAGACGGTCGGGAAATGCTTTTTTTCGGGAATGTCGTCTTGTGCCTAATATCATTCTTACGACTTTGTGGCTACCCAATTACAATGTCTATGCTCTACCTCTACATCCTTCATATCGCAGCTTGGTATTGGGTTCGTTCTTGGCATTTTCATTTATCTTAAGTATAGCTAGTTCTTTAAGTCTTGTCGACATTTTTTCAATCTTGTTTGAATAAATCGAAAAGCTAGAGAAGTAATTTAGCTAGAAATATTTGAAGTTTCATTCATGAACATGAGATACATTTTATTAAGAATATCTTAACCCCTAATCCCATTCAAGTTATCGATTTGGTTATTAGTGTGATTTGGTCAGAAGTCAGGTTAGTATACCACCTAATAGCACAAAAATTTGCATTAGTAGTGCAGATGTTAGCATTCTCGGTCCTGGTCAGGGGAGCAAAATCAACGATGTGCATCCAGTGAATCTAATGGCAAACCAACTTAGTTAAAGCTTTCTAGTAAGTAGGTATCTGATTCAAGTTTTACTTATCTTTCGACTCTTGGCAATGCAGGTTTTAGGAAGAAATCTAGTCAATGTTATAGACAATTTGCCTTATGTAATAGCCACTAGCGTTTCAAGCCGTTCACGGTACAAATAGGAAAAATAATTATTCATGAAAGCCGAAACATTGTTTCACCAAATAATTACGTTCAATTGTAAGCCATTACCCTAAACTGGAATAAATTAATATGGCATGATGAATAAATCGTCTTAATTGGACGTCATTTTTCAAAATGTTAGCAGTAAATTTCTTGCTTCAAGGTTATAATTGCCGTGGGACGTTAGTTTTATTCAGTCTTACAGCAGTCTTACAACGCAAAGTTGCTTCGCTTGTAATTCAAGTATTTAAATCGTCTTTTGTGTTTTAGCTAAGAACACGATGAATCTTTGAACAGAAAATACTGTCGTAAAATTTGTTGAATAGTAAAATTTATGAACTTAAATAAAGTGCTTTCGATATATTCTTACAATTTCTTTGTTATCAATTAGTAGTTCATAAATAATGGAGGCAAAATAGGGATCATTTGCTGAGCTAATGACCTTAACAACTTATGAACTCCAATTCTATTAGATTTGAGAGAATGGACGGTCTATTGTTAGAGTAATTGTGGAGGAGGTGGTAGTTCACTATGCTGGATTTACATAAAGTATGAAAATTTGACAGAATTAGACTGGAGAGAATGGGCTAAATATCATGGCGAATAAGGTCGCTATATCGCCTAAAAGTAATTCTTGCTCCTTATAGTGATTGATTTCTAAACCAGAAAAGTTTTTTATGATAATTCCCTTGAGGTTTGGAAGCAATAAATTCTTGTTCTCATGTGTGCATTCAGTCCTTTAAAACTGCTTTTCTTTATCTTTTTATCCTTGAAATATTATCACTATTCGCTAATACGGTGGTGCCTAAATCTCTTTTGGTAATATTGGTTCTTTTGTTACACATTAAGGCATTAGGCCCCATAATCGTTTTACTTATTGGTATATGAGGCTTTCGTATAGTGACTAGTGGCTTGCATTATATATAACTTGTCCCGAGGCTGCCTATCCGAGCACATTAAACGAAGTAAAAGATGTGAACCGCGGCCACTTGGGGGGAATGAGTCAAGTAATTTCACTAAAAGGGTTTCGATGTGAGCGAGAAAGATGTCTGATCATTGATACATCAGTGTGATTATGGACAAACTGAGGGCTCTGAGTGGTGCTCTATTGATGAGTTTAGTTGATATTCTGTAGTTCCGCGTAGCCAATCAGTAAATAACATTTGACACGTCCAGCCTTTGAGTACCACCATAAGCTAATTTCTGTACAGTCTTGAGGCCTTGTGAACGAGCTAATTTAGGAGCATTCCATGGAACGTGCCTATTGACTCGTGCGTCTCCACTGCTGTAATCGCATTTAAATAACAAGAGGTATAAAAATTTCAAACTTCATTTAGGCTTTATGGTAGCTATCAATGAACCTTTAGTTGACTTCGAGCCTCACAGGAGGGAGGAACATCGAAGCCACAAAAGTCGAGATGGAAGGGGTAACAGAAGAATGCTTCACATATGTAAAAGAGACAGACACCAAGTTAGGGGAAAAGGTAAGGTGAGTATTGTGGTCGAATATGACATGCAATCGGGTCATGGTAGTTTGGAGGCAGGTTTATTGCTCACCCCCTCCAATTTGCACATAAGATAGTAAAGACTAAAGGAAGGGGACCAAGAAATACCCGAGTTTACGAAAAGGAGCTACCAATTTCTCAATACTGCTCTCTGACCTCTAAAGCAACATACAACATAAAGATGCACATGGCTCAATACACAAGCTTCCTCGTCGGTCTGTGTCTAGTTGCAAATTTGGCCAACTTCCCAAGAGGTAACTTGCTTGCTCACTTTGTCATTGCCCCGTTCTCATTATGTAATAACTCCGACTCCTTGTTCATCCAATTCTGTCTCATTTAGTGTTGATGTATATTCTACCCGTGGTCCCATTTGATGTGGGAAAGGCTGATTTACCTTTTTAGTCTTTAGGATGTAATTAGAACAGTAAGAGGCTATTCCCGAGCCTTAGTGCATCGAGCTAAATATAGTTGCTTACGGGATTTAGTGCTACCTTAATCCTGCTTTATTTAAACATTATAGGCATGCCTCCCTCATTGCCTCAAAGTATGAAAGAATTTGAACACGGTCACCCTTCTACCTTAATGCAGCCAAACTTCAGCTCAAACAAGTCTATACAACGTAACAAGTAAGAAGGCAACGAAGCTCATCCAAAGAATACTATAAGCAGCTTCTGAGCAATGTGGAAGTTTTAAATTAGCGTTGCTGCCGTGCTTCAGCGTGGACATACCCCATCTGGAGAACGAAGATAAAAGTTTCAGAATCAAAATGACACAAGAATATATTGTGTTCAAGTTCACACTTTATTTGAGAGGAAGGGGGTTAGAGGTATTGTCCCAGAAAGTCCCTAGAAGGCATAGGGAGAGCAGGTCTTGCCCTCATAGTTGAATAAACCATTGGGATTTTTCGAATTTGCTCCGAAATTTGCACTTGAATTAAAAGCGAAAAAAATTAAAATTTAGGAATAAAGCGGGCATTATCAATGGATTCCACAAGAAATGTGAAGAATCAATAACTCGAAGGGAAAGTTTGAAGAAAAGGACCACAACACCAGGGGCCACCGGTGCATTCTCTTAACAGAGTAATTAACAATGCTGGTTAACAGAACGACGAATGTTGGTTGTCTGAAGGCCCTTATCAATAATTATTTAAGGAGCTATCTTGGAGTTTTGATATAAATTCGAATTTAGCTTTAGAAGTAATGAGAACTTCATGTCTTCAAATTTAAGCAGAATACGTAAATTTTATAACTGTTAAGAAGAATTAAGATGAATATACACAATTGGAATCTTACAACAAAATGGAGTAGAAAATCCAGTCAAAAGAATTTTAATTCAACAAGAAACTTCAAGAACGTCTCTCTTAAAAAAAACAACAGAAATTGACATACACTACGTAATAGGACTGACACACTGACTGTTAGCATAGACCATTCATATCAAGGCCGCCAATAACAGTAATAAGTTTTGGTTAATTTATTAAATTTTACATTTTCTTCGACCGGAGTTTTTCGGGGACTTGGATGAAAAAGTGGCCAACAGAAGGCTTGAAGGCCTGAGCAGATCGGGCCATAGCTTCGAATGTAACCTTCTCTTTGATGTTTGTCGATTTCACAGAGGCTTCATGATTAGTAATGAAGATCCACTCTTCCATGTCACCTTCCTCTTTGGGTAGCAACTTCCACCGACGGGTTGCGATAACTTTCGGCAATTCCTCAGCCTTCATATCTAATAAGGACATCAGAAGACTCTTGGAAATTTTCTGGTAAGTGGTATCTATTACATAACAGATATCTGAAAATGATAAAAGAAATCACATCAACGGCAATTAGTCTTTAAAGGGTTAATAAAATGGACATTATCAAAGGCAACTTACAGCTTCTGACAGAAATATCCCAGTCGGGAATATTACCAACCACTGATTTGTTCTCCTTGTAAGCACTCCAGAACTCTTGGAACTTACAAGTCTCAAGGAGAGTTTCAAGGTGTACAATGGTAGAAAGTGGTTCTTCGGCAAGCTAGAAAGGGTATGAAAAGAGGAAACGAACTATCTACCCTGTCTGTTTGAATGAGATACTTGTATTGTAAGAAATCTGCAAAAGGAAGCTTTGCAATGCCCTTAAGAAGGATTAATCGGGCAGCATCAACATTAAACAAGTCAGGACAGAATTGATACCTGCAGAGCGTTACGTTACCATTTATCTTACATTCGAAGCATTATGAGATTCGCTTCAAAATCGTAGTCGTTTTCTGTAACTTGCCATGATAAGTGCTTTTCAAGTTCTGGGAGGTGATCGGGATTGTAACTAAAGCAATAAAATCGAAAATCGAATTACGCTTCTATGCCTTGTAATTTGGCATGAAGTTGCTCCTTGGGATCAACAGAAGGCATCACTGTAGAGTATTTTCACGCAGCCAGGCTAATTTCACCAACCACTGAGTGAATTTAGAATATTGATTGGTTAATATTAATTTTCATTTTTCTCCAAAGTAAATATTCGAAGATCGCTTCAAAATCGTGTTTTTTGACTCACAATCATTGGTAATATAAATCCGTATCTATTTATTTTTAAGCTTCAAAGTACAATTGGTACATGATTAGCACAACGGCAATAAACTATTTGCATTGACACAAAAGCAATGAAAGATCACATGATTAATTTGCATGAGTGAAAATTATTGAAAATTATGCTCCCTCAAAACTTGATACCTCAGTTATACAAACGAGCGAAATTTAGTTGCAAACTTTAGAACTTAAGTGCTTAAATTCGTCGAAGTATTTGCTTTTCAATATTATTGTTTTGAAAATAACGCAGTTAATTCTGTATGAATGATGTATTGAATCATGCCTACATATACGCACTGATCCTAATTTCTTTATCTGCCAAGCGAATAAATTCAAGGTAAGCAAGCATAAATATATACTTAATTAATGTTAATGAAATCCAAGATTGAGTGCAACCTCATTTTTAAACACGATGAACTGCCACCTGAATACAGTCGTCACATTTCTTCTTGACAGAAAATAACCCATATCTTTTAAATTCCTCTTTCTTCTGTCTATTCTGAGCTTTATGTCTTCTGTTGTTGTATCGATTGTTGTCTTTCCAGCATAATAAACATTTAATAATCCGAGAGAACATAACTTTTGGAACCAAGTATGATCCAGAGTGAATGACTAAAATTTATGAAAAAAAATCTATCAAGTCGAATTCTATATCAAACTCCTTGTTTAGGAGCCACAGTAAACACAAAGCATAAGTCATATTGGACTTTGAAATCTAACTTTCAAAACTTAACAAGCAGATTAAAATTTCAATTATTTCATTAACATTTGTTTAAAATTATATATTTCAATTCGTGAGGTTATATGTAGATTTTGAAAACCTGTTCATTTGCTCAATTTATAAATTTAAAATTGTTCGGATGCTTGACGGAAGGGGGCTTGTAGCTCAGACAGAGGTTTTAAATAGGAAAATATATGTACTTGGTGGTCAGACATATCGAAGTTAAACGTCGAAATTTTTAAAAAAAAACAATAGTTCAGAACGAGACGAGTAAACTCACAAGTACACTAAGTGCATTCTTTGTGCACTCAACCGAGCTTACTGCCTCCATAAAAATGTCATAGATTCTGCTTATGGTAAGCTTCTTTAGTGTTTTGAACTACTTAATACATCGAGCATTTATCATGTACCATATTTTGATTTCTTAAGATGATTACCTATGTACATTCGGTTATTTGTTAAAAACTGGTCTTTTTAATAAAAGCTATACGTTATAATTTCTGAAAATATAAAAATTAGCTTTGCAATCGATCTCAATTTCATGTATACAAAATTTAACATTGTTAAAAAATCAGTCAATTCTATAATTTCTATGTATATGAATTTTAATACAAACTATGAAAATGAAAATGCTGACTTATTTTAAATATTCGGTCCAAAAATTTGTGCGCCGTTTATAACACAGTATAACCATTTAAGTGTATAAAGCTACTAATCACTGCATAGCGTACTGCTGGACGTGAAAGTGTTGAAGATAAGTTTATAGATATTCATTTAAAATAACAATAACTAATGAATTCAAACGATTAAATGATTTATATCCATCGATATACTATCTTCAGGTAAGTGACGAAGTAGATGAGAAGGCATAAATATTATGTGTATTTTGAAGCATTTAAATGAAATATAGCATTTTTAACATCCAAATAACGCAGTTATATATCGTTAATAGAATTTGCAATAATTTATAATGATCAAAAGTAATATAGTACAATAACGATTTATCTGTTGCATACACTCTGAGTTTTAATAAAAATGCGTTAGACTTACCTCCAGGTGGTGCACCCTGGGCAACGTATACTCATACGGCAAAAAAGTCTATTAACCGGCAATTGACTTCTGACTTCAAACTACCACGACCCCCCCCCCCCTGGTTGTCATATTAGACCCCTTACTCTGTACTCACCTTACCATTTTCTCTACCTTTGTGTCTGTCTGCCTCTTTTACATCTGTGAATCGCTCTTCTCTTCCCCACTCCTCGACTTTCTGCTACTTTGATGAACCTTTCCTCTGTGAAGCCCGAAGTCAGCTAAAGGGCTAATGATAAGTGTCATAAAGCCCGCCATTCGAAATAAATAAATAAAAAAATTTTAATTTCGATGATAAACCAAATAATCGGGATTTCATAAGCGTTTATTTGTTAAGTGGCGTTGATGCTTTTTCTTAAGCTACATTACAACTCAGACATGGACAGACTATATATTCCACAATAGCGCTAATAAATTGCTAAAGACTAATATGCCATATAGGCTTTTCCATTAGTAATAGACCAGCGATTGGAAAGCAAAGAGGGTCAAGGTTGAAGGATTTTGAAGGGGAATCAATGGAAGAAAAGCGTGAGGGAAAATGAAATCGATGAATTTATATAAAGACGATAAGGGGGTTATATATGAGCAACCAATCATTACTAATTAGAATTTGTCAAAGAAAGTGAAATACGTAACGTAATTGAGCAAATTTGCGCAGATATTATATGTTCTAGGATGTCACAATATGGAGCAAAAATATTGTCGAATATACAGTATAGATATAGTCCTTCATGCAAACTTATAGAAAGAGCGAATAACACAAAACATCGTTAGGTTTATCTATTATAACTGCACAAGATAATGAAATAACTAAAGCTTCAAACAAGAGTTACTCTACCGACACAACCATGTTTCAACACAAAATAAACTTTTGAGATATTCATGATAGCGGGGTAGTAAATAAACCTAGCAAAAGACGATACAATGCATTAGTTTATTATATTGTACAAATATGAGTTATGGATATATGTGAAATTTCAAGTAAATTTTGTTAATACGTCATATAAACAACCTTATCTGAAATAGAAGATTATTTCAAATGGGACAAAATCAAAGGAAAAATATTGGCGGACATATTTCATTTTCAAGACTAATTAGAGGCTAGTAGAATAAAAAGATATATTGCTGTTATTTAAGCCACAGGCAACACTGAAAATTCTAGTTTGGAGAAAATTCACCAAAATAAAAAATATTTCAAATTTTATTTGTTCGAAAAAGAAAGAACTATATTGCATGCGCCATATTTTATGCTGAATATTTAATAAACCCGCTTAAGATATATATTTGAATCGATCTATTTCAGAAGCATTGTTTATCAATTGCAGAGCGTGATTCGTGCACTTTAAGCCTTCGTTAGTTAATTTACTAAATTATCTTCAAGTGTAAGAGATCCGGTTTCTTGTAATTTAAAGATTTGAGAGAAAATCCTTGTTAAATTTCTAATGCATCGTGTTTTAGTTAACTAAAACCGAGGTCATCGGATATTCGTGATCGAAATATTTTCTGGCTGCAGTAATTTTTATTTTTCTTTGTGTACGTTATTGTGTCAGTTTTGTTATGTTCAAACTCTTTTATTTCATGCATTTGGTGTATTTTTATTCGTCCCTTAGGTTTTATTTCAGATTTTCATATGATTTGTTCCACATTGTATTGAATATCTATTTTGGCCTTCGTTTTTATTTTGTGTTGTTTTTGCAAATATATTTAACCGAAATCTGGATTTGCTTCATGTACTAAAATGGCATCTACGTATTTATTTCTTTTGGCATAGCATGCATTCAAAAACTGCCATATAGGAGTACTATTTCTATGCTTTTCTAATTCTGCTTGCTTCTGCTTTTCAGATGCCACTTTTAAACGGCGAATTATTCGTTAAAAAGCAGCCGCCAGCAGATCTTCACCCGGATGAAGAAGTCTTCTTCTCCTCAATTACTTATGAAGTTTTTAGAGACTACGAGTGAGTTTCCTTAATTTGCATTAAAGCCTCCTGATTACTTACCTTATGTACACAGTGTCTTTATTATTTTGATTTTCTTCTGCGTGACGTAGCCACTACTACCGCATCTAATATCATTTCGTTGTGATTTGATTTAGCGGGTGTTGAACATGACCTTGAGATACCTGCCTTATATTCCCTATTTTGTCATTGAAACGTTAAAGTCTGTTATATTTATGAGTTTTATCCTTTTTACTCAATGCTCTCCACCTAACTTGGCTTATCGACCCAATACTGATTTCCTTTCTTGTTTACTACTCTCGAAATCTTAAATTAATACTTGTTTTCCACTTATTGACAAAATTGGTCAAATTGATACATTGGACTAGTTCTTATGACGAAATTTCTCCGTTATATGCTATAAGTATCTTCAATTAGATGTTCCTTCGAACTTCACAGTCTAAAAGTCGTTTATAGCATCTGTATTACTTATTTGTTTCAAGCTATGTACTTCTCAGAAAACAGCCCACTATTATTCATTTAATGTCCATATCCACTCCTAATCCAGTGAATTCTTCGAGCGCACCATTCAACTGAACAGCGAGGGCTGGGGTTGTAGTTTCTGTGGCCATCAGAATCTCAACTACAACGAGGCTGTTGCTTGTGAGGCCGGTGATGCCGCTCGACTGGCCGAAATCGGACCTCCAGGTCTCTGCCGAGGCCTTCTCCACATCATCCTGGGTGCCAAGCGTCGTCGAATGAATGAATTGGTGGATGTTATGTTGGCATTCGCTAGCTCTCGTTACTTCATTGGCGAGGAACTTTGTGTGCGAAGCGCCGATTCGAATTCTGCGGCCGCTGAGATCCCGTAAGTTGTTTTGATTAAACGCTTCTATTTGAGTATGCATGCACGCATAGATCCCAATCCAATGCTAAAGATGGATTTGCTTGGTCATTTGTAACTACCGCTTAAAACGATTTTGAGTTTATAAGATTCAGTTTGAGCATATTGCAGACATGGAGTGTAGAAATGTACTGAACGATAGCTTTTTACGTTCAGGTATCTTATAACTCTACTAATTTGTCAACGAATGAAAACTTACATCTTAATCTGCAAACGTCTTTGTTAGGTGGAAAGTAGTTTGATATGCTTTACTCAAATGTTTCCATTTTAACTTGTAATCGTTCTGTTCATATTGATACACTCTCTGTGATTGAATATGCATCGGTGAAGGAGCGGCTAAATCTGGATCAACATTTCCAATGTTTGTCAGTACATTTATAGGCGCCGATTTGGCTAAGATCTAGTAAAGGAGATGGGTATTTCTATGCTTCTTATCGTCGAAATTACGGGATGCCGTTTCTTTTAAAAAGAAGTATTGGAAGTGGTTTAAAGTATCACAATTTTTGAGTTCTCTAATTCGAGATACTTTAATAGAGTGGTTTTTTTTCCCAGAAATCAAAATTAACTACTTTTAAAGCATGAATCAATAATCATTCGGGTAAGAGAAGATACTTCTACTTATACCGATAATATGCGACAGTTTTTTTTCACATTTCCTTTTTATTGTACCATAATATAATAATTGGCGTGCTCTAAGTGTTATAGCATTCAATTATTTTTTAAAAGAATTCGCACTACGTGAGTTAATGAGTAGTTATTGATATTTCAGGTCACGCCTGTACGGGTCCTTGCCAGGGCTCATGCGACTACTGTTTGTCCTTCTTTGCATTCATTACTCCAAGATATTTATTTTTTGTCAAATGTGGTCTCTTTTCTTATCTATATCAATGCGAAAAAGACTCAAACTTTAATGTTCCAGTGCGGAATGAAATGCTAGTCGAATAGACATTTATCATGATTTCTCCAATTTAGGGACACGTTACTTGGGGCTATTTCTCAAGATTCAAAGCATCTCAAAATTTTAATTTCATAATTTTACAACCATTAATGCCCGTGTTAAGTGTTCTCGTTGACTTGTTTATTAAATTGAATTGTTGGCTGCACCATTTTGGCCTATCTCTTTTTCCTCGCTGCCATGAAGAAACAAAGCCATTTTAAGTGATTCAGGGCGGAATAAATTTCATTCAAGGCTAACTCTAATGATCTAAATGTTATTAAACTACTAATAAATTATTTAAATCACAGCAAGATTCAATTATTTACTCTATTTTAAAACAGGAGTAGTGTAGCTCGTCCTGATTTCAACATCAAGTATTTTGTTACCGATTATGCCATTTGTCGCTGTTCATAACTTTTACCTATCTGATGTCATTGGGTGGAAATCGAATAAATGCAAGTTTCTCACTAGGCGGGTCAAAGTTGTTCCCTCGGTCAAGATGTGTTAGATTGGAAGTATTGCATAAAATCGATCTGACACTTTAACATGGAGGATATAGGTGTTATAAGAGTGTAGATTGTAGGTTAGATAGTATCGATTGATGTTCTTTCTGTTGGCATAAACATAGTAATCTATTGTTCTATTCATTCTGACAATTTATTTTGAATAGATTGGACCCATCTGTGACTGTTCAGCAAGTCATCCTACCACAACCAAAGGCCCAAACCGTAAGTTGCCAGCTCACTCACACATTTCCTTCCTTGATTAAAGTATAGTAATTTAATTTTCGATTTTAGGTTTCTCAACCCCGACCCACAATGCCGGAAGCCAAGTTGATCCAATATGCTGTACGTCAATTACCCACCAAGACCAATCCTACTCCCGTTCGTACCCTCTGTGTCATGCCCTACACAGCACTTCAAAGACCTCCTCAACGCTATCTAACTCGTGACAAAATTCGAAATTTTATTAGACAAACATCTAAATTGGATAATAGCATATTCGTCCCTAGGGTAAGAATCTATCAAAACCCTTCTACTTATATTATTTTCAGTCCCCATTTTATTCTAACTTTGCGCCTTTTTCACAGGAATCTGTTATGAAGCACTTCAATGTCTATCCGCATGGCACACTGAAGTGGGCAAACTTTTTTGCTGGTTCAGTTTTACCTTGGTCAGACTTTGTCTTTACTCGAGTTGTGACAGGTCGTGAAGGAGTTCTCACTACTACCCATGCGAATCCGGCCGCAAAGAAATCTTCTGCCGAGCCTGTGGTTATCAAGGCTATAAGTAATTTAGAAAACATTAGTCTACTTATTCGTTTTAATAATTAACAAATTCTTCTTATTTTTTTAGCGAATTCAGTCGAACCTCCCATCGTCTCGCAGACTCATAATATGGAATTGCAACATCAAATGCGTGTTGATCGTGCAGAGCTAGAGCGCGTTTGGTCATTCCTTCGTAAACGTGATGATCTTGACCTCTCTGACCTTGTGCCCTTACCATCAATGACTCCTTTGAGTCTCCGTTCTCCAATCCCACCTGAGCATTTTGGTGACTGCCTTCGTATCTATGAGTTCTTCCACGCTCTTGGTGGATTTTTGCATATCCCTTTACCTGGTGTAGCTCAGTCGGTTGCCAAGGCAGTAGACGGCGGCATGAACACTAGTGGCAAGACTGGTGTTATCATGATTGAGAATGAAAAAGTGGAGCATCCAAACGAACAATTTAGTTGGAAGGTTCTTGAGGATATCCTTTTCAACCAGGATCCTTCTGGACCTTTTGCTGATGTACTCTATGGTCTTCTCAATGCTATTAGGCGACTCGAGGTTTGTTTTTATCCAATTTGGAATTATGTTTCTCAGTTTACATGGAGAATTCGGTTGTGCTTTGATTACTGGAGTGGAGTCTTCATAAGGTCACAAAATCTGGTGACATTTCAAGACAGTCTAAGGAAGCGCAGAATGTAGTGGAGTCAGATAAAAGTTTTTCACGTCTAATTTCGGCTTTTTTGCGCTTCTAAGGCCATTCATCAAAAGCTTTGGGTTGTAAAGCGTATTCTAAGCCGTTGAGCTATCATTTTCAAATTACCCAAGCTGGTGGATTGATTAAACATACGTCTTTTCAGCGGATTGAACTGTTTGTTTAAGAGCATTGAATATTTTTTTTAAAAGAAATCTTTGATGATTTGTGAGCCATTGTGGAATATCTAGGACATGGGTTATATCTTGCCAATTAGAGAACTTGCTAATACCGTGCCTTAAGTGATAATGACGTTAACTCTTATTGGGAAAACAGTGGGTATCGGTGTTTGTTCACTTGCTAACATTAGTATCAAATGTCAGATTTGTTGTTGTTGTTATGTCACACCTTGCTGTATTTGATGCGTCCTAAAAATGGTCTAGTTTATTAAAACACGTTTTTTGCACTGTTCTATGCAGATTGGGCCTATGTCATTAGTATTTGACTTATCGGTTTATATAATTAACGGAAGCATGAATTCTTGAAAATCAGTTCATAAATTCCTCGAGAAATCCAATTTTATTTTCCTCCTATTCGGCTACTTATACTTTCAAGAATGCACTCTTAGGCCTCTGAAAGCGAATACGGATATGGAATAAATATATCGAATAGTTTGCTAAATCGAACTAAGAAATTGCGGAGTTGTGTTACTCTATTTTTTTATTACTCTATAGAATGAAGCCTCAGCGAAACTTCCCCCGACAGCTGAAGCCGCGGCAGCAGCCACAGTGTCCGCCATCGCGACTCTTGAAGCCGGTCTTCCAGTTGCCTCAGCCGGTACTCTAACAGGTCTCGGGTGCTCCCAAGAGTACACCACTATCCTCGCCGAAACACTCACCTCTCCAGCCAACGCTCGACTAGCCTCAATCTTCCGCGCCACTGCTGAGGCCACTCGTCAATGTGAACTCGTCGGTCTGGCTCCCATAAATACCCCTCTTACGTCCCGCGTGGAGAGAGCCGCCGCCCAGGTTAATATGCCTCTCTCCGAAGTGAGTGGATGGAGTTGTGGCCCGGGACCTGGAAGTGCGGGCCGATCGATGGCTGTGCGAGCCTCTGCGTTGGCAATAGCTCTGGGAGCGATATCTTTACCACCGTTGGATAGAGCGGGCTTGGCCGAAGCCCTATGGTTACATATCAACACAGCGCCCGCGAAAACAGGCGGTTGGAGAGGATCGATTTGGGGTGGTACTAGACCTCTTGATGATCCTTGTGTGGATCTCATGAGAAACGATAAGGAGTTGGTGGATAGATTGAGATCAGGTGAAAATATGTGAAGTATTTCGAGTATACTTCCATTACCAATATTTGCCATTGATTGTCAATGTCCTCTAGTAGCTTGTTATGCCGTTGGACTTTGGATCAACGGCTGAGAATGTACTTCGATCACCAAGGTTGATGGTGGTAGCTAGAGTGGGGGGCTGTTATCCTTAGATTTTGAGAATTAAATGAATGGCATGCCATTTACTATTCGGAAGTAATTGTATGAGGGATTTTCAAAATAAGTTTATGGAGCATTTATTGAAACAGTGTCTGGAGTAGCATGTTCGCTGTTCCAAGTTAAAAAATTGAGGAATTATTTGGTACATTCCTAATCCAGTGTTTTTTCCTTTTAAAGAGCCTCTTTACGGTTGGCCGCTTGGTGATCGCCTGCGTCTACTTAATTGCCTAATGGATGAAGTCTTGATGCAGCCACAAGTTCGTGAGCTACTAGACTCCTCTTCAGAAGATATTAAGAATCTACGTCTCAATTTACGTGGTGTCCAAGCAGAGCGTTTCCGCTTCTATGGCGGAAATTCGGGGATTGCTAATATGTTCTATGGCTTTTCGGCCTCTACCCTGGTTAGTACTTGTGATCATTGGCTCACTGGTACACCACCAATTCTGAGGAATAGCACAAATCGACCCAGAAAGAAGACCGTTGAAGCGGCAAAGGCAAAGATTGCAAAAGAATTTAATGAGGCTAGGGCGTAAGTGATGCGTTTTTCCACATACTGAAGGAATTTTGAGTGCTTTATAACACAATTTTGTGTGTTTAGATCTGTTACTGGGACTAAATTAACAGAAGCTGATCTTTACCGCATGCCTCCAATCGCGGATGTTTGTGCACACTTGGACAAGGAGGAGGAAAACCTATGGAGATCTGTTGTCCGAAAAGCCCGACGTTTTTCTATTATCCCTCTTGGGCAGGATCGTATATATCGGTAAATGACTTTTTTTTATAATCGATTGGTATTGCTGAGTTCATTGTACCAAGGGTAGACAGAATGTTGAGGCAGCTTAGTATTCTTTAACCTAGGACATGAGGGATTTGTTGGATGCATCGAAAGTTCTTGAAGTTCTCATTCGTTTAAATGTAGGTTTCTGTAGTTCTTAGGAGAATTTTAACTAGAGATATTTAAGAGTAAGGTTGGACGGTTGTAACTCATTTGCCCATTTCAAATTTTATGTTAATCCTTTAGCTTAGTTTATAATCATAAGCAGTGAATGAAACTGAATTTGTGGTTTGCTCATCTTAGTTTAATTCAGATCCGATCATAAAATTCTAATTTTTACTGGAAGTCTGGTGTTGAATTACTGAACTCTGGAGGGGAACAAAGTTGAAAGTTGGGTTTATTTAGTTTGATCTGTTCCCGGTTGGAGGGAGATCGTTTTGAATGCCTAATTGGGATCAGGGCTCTAATGGATTTTCTACCAAGAGAAAATGTCCCTGAACCGCAATAAGTTTATAACTTTACCTTTTTGTTTACAATAAAATATGCCTGCATGGGGGAAGACAAGTTACTTATTTAGTCGTAAGCGTTTCGACGTAGTAGTGGTCGTTTTTCATCACCAATCATCTAGTGAAGTGCATGACAATCGCATTGGTTAATTGATCCCCAAGTGAGGGCTGCGATTTTCTCTTCTCTGTATCAATTTACAGCAATTAGCTTGGACATATTTAGATTAGAATATCTAGGAACCAGTGCGATATGAATCATGTTCAGTTAGAGGAAAAATGACTCAAGTAAGGAGACCTTTGTTGTCACAAAAGGGTATCAATATGTCTGGTAGTTGGGTTATAAAAGAGTGGTGCTACATAGGTCCATCACAGTGCTTGAACTAATGCTCTTCCTTCTTTCCTATAGACGATACTGGTTAGTGCCTTCTCTGCCTGCTGTCCTAGTTGAAAACACCATGGAAGAGAATGACACAGCTCCTCCGGTTCACATCGCATCGCCAACTAAACTGATTTCCGGAAATAGTCAATTTTTACGTGTTCGCGGTAAACAGGTGGCTCCCGGGTATGGTGTCTTGGGTTCGACTCCAGCAGAAGCAGTGAAAAATCTACGCAAAGCAGCCATGGAGATGCGTGCTGCTGCTGAAGCCGAAGATGAGCATTGGCAGAATCCGCGTATCCTTGATCGTGACTCCTTGGTTTCTCAGTTAGCAGTGGATATGCCAACTAATAGGGATACTTACACTAATGAGGAATTTAGAGCCCTCGTTCATCCTGTATGCTTTACATCCTTAACTCCTAATTTTCGCCTAATTCATAAACGTATCATGTAACGTTTTGATCATAGCTTCCCAATGAAATACGCGTTGGCTATAATTGCCCAGATCCTGAAGAAAGAAGGGAGATCTGGGCAGATATAAGTTTTAGCTTAGTCTCATTATTGATCTTTGCATCCTAGTGACACACTTGTCAATGTACACGTCTAAAAAATCGGAATTCACGAGTTCGACGGTCATCGGTACGCATTAATGTGGATGGCCAACCACTCTGGTCAACTTTTTTGTGTGTGAATTCGAGAGCTAGTAGAATCTGGGTGTTTCGTAAGAGCAGCTATAAAATAACCCCCCCCCCCTCTACTTGAGTCAATCGTTAGCATTGTTCCTCATTTTATTCGTCCAAAAGATTTTCGTTTTCCATTTTACTTAGAATCGTCGTGCTAATGCCCAAGTCGATGCCGACCATCCAGTAATCAAACAAGTGGAAGAACTTCAAAGGAACCCGCCAAAATGGTCGGTACTTCTACCTATTCCTGCTTCTGATCAGGACGAAGGCGAAGAAGATGATGGGAACCCTAACTCGCACTCAGACGATCGTTACGCTGGAGCCCGTCGTGCTATAGATCAGTTAGAGGCCTCGTTGAACTCCCGAGGTATTCGCGAGGCCCATCTCAGAAAATCCATATCTCAACTCAAACCTATTCTGATATCTACCGTTGCTAAATGCCCAGTCGATATTCTTGCCGTCTCTGAAGAAGAGAGGAAGACGGCCAAACCGAAAGCTGTTAGTTTGCGCTTTCTTATTCCTATTTACTCTTAAGATTGTTTTCAGTATCCCTAGTTTTTTTATTTTTGCGGTCATTTCAGGTAAAGGATCCACAAGCAACTATGGTGGCCTGGCTAGAGCAAGCTATACGTGGAGTTGCAATGCGCCTGGGTGTTCCCTTCTCCAAGTGAGTAATGTTTATAGTATAGCCCGTGGACCAAGGGTTAGCAAAATCATCTAATAAGTCATTAACTGTGGCGTCTGAGATGATTTTACCTAAGAGACTCTTGGGTGCTCTCTTTTTCTCAGAAACGAGTTCTTAGATAGCATGTTCCTTCACTTAAGTGCTTCCAAAGAGTATCAAAGAAAGTGCTAGTGACACTTAACTTAGATAAATGCAGGGGTATCATGGAGTTCTCGTGAGAAATTCTCACATTCTACCACCATCTTATTCACCGCTGTTCAATGTGGTTGGCCAATGAGCACCGATCCGGTGACCTCAGTCTTGTCACATACGCACCTTGGCCACCGAAGCACAATGATTGGATAATACCTTTTATTTGAATTTTTATGCAAATACATTTTTTGTCTTCAGACTTGAACAAGGTGTCCAAGACCTGCAAACGAACGAGGAAGAAATGAAGGAAACGAGTAAAGTGTAAGTAGATAGTTGCTTGTTTTTGTAGGGCCTATTTATTGAAACATTTGCTAGTGTTATTATTATTATATGTTTTATATTGTTATATATTATTACTTCTGTTGATCCTTAGATTGGATGATTGTGCCAAGGATGTCAAATTGAGTGAAGAGGATTTCAAAATGTGAGTAGATTATTGTGGGCTCTTATTTATTAATAATAGACCGATTCTTACATCATTTGAAACACTTCAGAATCAGAGATGACGAAATACAAAATCGGAAGGAAGTTCGAAGGCTTGCTCAACTTATCCTTGCTCTTGGAAAAGCCATTGGCTCGAAACGACTGGCGGCTCCACTCAGTATGTGTTTGCTCTTCATCTCTTTTGAATTTTTTTCTGTTATTGGTTCAAGTAAATTGCTAATCAGTCAGAATTCACAGTGCTGTTTGGATCGTGCCCATTGCACCCATTTACTAGCATACAATTAGGGATGGTTAAGGTTTCACTTGTCGGTTGAAGCAGTTTTAATGATGTCCTCATTTTTTAGGCTCCGATGACAGGTCACTTCGTGGAGCTAAGCCTTCAAACGTTAATCTCGCTTCCTTGGACGATCCTAATTGTTCATCTTCTATTACTCTTCCTTCACAAGCCCCGGTAGATATGCCTGCTGGTAATGGTGCGACCACAGGGTACCGACGATGGGTCACTTGTGTCCGTTCGGCCACCACTACCGCCCAGCTCCATCTCCTTCTTCGTTCACTGGAACGCTCCGCTAGGAAAGCGAATAAAGGTGGTCGGGGTGTTCCTGCAGCGATTGGAAGCTATGCTGCACGCTTCCAACTTCCTGAAATTCGATGCACAGCTTGTCGGTACGTTATAGTTCATTATATTTTACAGCTTTGTTACTCACTGCCTCTGCTATCCCTTACTTGTGTTTACAATGGTTATTTTTCACGAAATTCAGCGGCCTACCTGATGAAGCAACAGGAACTAATTCCCGAGGATTGAACCCTCTTACCCTCTGTGGTGGCTGCGCTTGTCCCTTCCATCCCGATTGTCTCATCAACTCTCTCTCACGTCAGAAATCACGTTCATCTCTTCGTAATGCAACCTTGGCTTCTTCCCGTGGCGCCAACGCTCCTGATCTCGACGTTCTTGATAACCTCTCAACCACCTACTCCTTGATGTCCTGCCACATCAACACCACTGCTGCAGCTCGACAAGACACCCTTAAAGGAGCTCTTCTACTCTGTCAACGCTGTAGACGTCTGGCTGCTGCTGATGCAGATGAGGAAGAAATAGAGAAGTATGCTGACCCCCTACCTGATGAAATTTTGGAAGTTGAGGTGCCAGAAGGAGGCTCAGGAGATGGAATGGAGGAGGAATTAGGAGAGGTCAAAATTGAAAGCGATAATCAAAGTGGAGCTAATAGCAATGCAGATGAAAATGATGAAATCGATCAGGTTAAAATGGAGACAGAGAATGAATTGGAGGACAATTATGTCACTATTAGTCGAAATGTGAGTATTGATTAATTATTAATTGGTAATGGGCATTTCGATCGTCTCACTATTATTATTATTGATGGATGTCATGATACCCATCCTGATGATGCCTCCAATATGCTCGGATTAAATGTCTGAAGGGCAACGAGATGTGTTAATTTGGTATATACAATGACAGAACTGTCCCCTGAAGTGTCTACTTTCCATAGTTTTTGGCGTTTCCTTTTGACGATATCTGCAATCGAAGATGTCAAAGGAGAGCTTGTGAATCGATTCTAGTTACCACAGTAAATATGATGACTAGCACTCCAAGCTTAATTATAGTGACACCAATGAGAAAAATTTGATATGATTAACAATAGCAACTTTGTTGTTTTCAACAACTCATTTTGAATTGTTTAGGACTCTGTAACTCCAAGACGAGGCGGTCGACCCCAAGTGGCAAAACGTGGCTCTCATAGTGTTCGCGGTCGTTCATCCAGGGGTTCGCTCTCTCTTCGCCGAGCATCCACAAGCGCTACCGGCCACAGCAGTAGCCATCGTGGACGTCCTGCAAAACGTCCGCGTTATCTGGAAGACTACGACGGTGGAGATGACTTTGATTATGGACAGTCAAATCCCATCAACAGTAAAATTGAGAGGATAGCAAAAGGAGAAACAGTTCCTGTTGCCGTTGAGCATATAGATGAAAGCGCTGCCCCCGTAGAGACAGCTGAAACAATTGTGTTAAATGCAGTTGATGATCAAGACGTGCTCTATGAGGATGAGGTTCATGATATTTCAACTAGGAGGTCGAGAGGGCGACGAAGACGAGGCGGTTTGAACCCTAGGGGTAAGTCTTAAAGATTAATAGATCCATGTATTTTCGCGTATTTAATATGAGGCCAACTTGAATAGTGAGTGGATAAGTGGATGTAATTGCAGAAACTCTATTAAAGTATTTTGATGATAATAGAAGACGATTCGAGTATTTGCGTGTCAATTCAAGCAGAATCATTGGGTTTGAAAATGTCGGTCACTATGCATTGTGCAATTTGATTGAGTTTTAAATTTCGAATCGAATAGTGACTCACAGTGGGAAAAGAAATCAAATAAATGGCCGGAAATTTCTTTAAAGAAATGTCATAAGTGTAAATTAGCAAGAATTTTACTACTTAAGTCTGACTTTTTTTCCCCTTTCAGGAGGAAGGCTTTCTGCAGGTTCAGGAACACCACGTAAACGCGGTCGCCCTCCTAAGCGTGTTGGTGCCACGTTCATGTTGAATAGGACTGTATCTTCCATTCTACACGCCTCCGATGGTCCCGTCGTCATTGATGATGACAATGATAGTGACAACGCTGCTGTTGGAGAAGAAGAGGAAGATGCTGATGTGGAGATGGTTTCTGAGGTTGCCAAACTTCCACAGCCACCGCCCCTAAGACAGGATACTCTTGCAAATCCTATCCAAACGCAAGCCGCCGCTGAACGGCTTTTGGCTGATATCTCCTCTCTTTCTGCAGCTCGACCCCTGCTTCGTTGTGCCCTCAGCAAGACTCTCCAGTCTGTTGAATTGCCATCACCAGACAAGGAGGAACTCTCTCCAAGTCGTAAAAATGGTTTCACCCGTCGTCAACCTACGAAACAGCAGCCCCTTCTTGCTTACGATTTGGATAGTCTGAAAGATCTACTCACTTCACAAAGTGGCCTACCCGGAGGACCGTCTCAAATTGTTTCCCAACTTAAGTGAGCTGTTAAAATGTATTCACTTGCCTCACAATCTTGTTCACCTCTAACCGCTATCTTCTATCCAAACTGTAGAATGTTGACTCAGCATTGGATAACATCGAATCGTCCGGGAAGTCGTCTACATGGATGTGCTCTTGATGTATCTACATTCCTTGAAAAGAAACTGCGAGAGCTGGCCGCCAACTCACCAAATTAACTCCCTCCTCCAACCGCGCGCATTTCATCTCCCATCATCAGTAAATGATCCCATATCTCCCTTTCTGTTCAGCTTCACATATGTAGCCAATCTTTTCTACCGTCTGTTTGATTCCATTCTTGACTGAGTAGATGCGAACATCTTATTACTAAGTCTATGTGTATTCCTTCTATAAATAAATGTGTCTGAATGACAGTGTATTTTCACGGGAACTTGTGCTTTTCTTTGGGAAAGCATGAAAATTTCCAACAACATTAATGTAGTGCAAGCATGACTGTTGTCTAAATTGACTTACTTGAGTGCACCAAGTGGAGGTGAGTCTGCAGCTACTTTTATAAAGCCTGGCTGTTGAGAATTGTAACGGATTGCTACCTTAGTAAAGCCTGACCGGATTGCATTGTAGCGGATTGCTACGCTAGTAAAGCCTGACCGAAATCTCTATGGCAGATTCTCCAACACCTAGCTAGACTCCCAGAACAGCTAAGCTATAGCTCCACGGATTGCTACGCTAGTAAAGCCTGGCTACTCAGAAATCTCTGTGGCAGAATCTCCAACATCTAGCTAGACTCCCAGAACTAGCTAAGCTACAGCCCAGCTATAGGGGAAACAGACGTATAATACGGAACACGTATATTCTGTCACGTAATGGTAAGAAAAGTGTATTTACAAGCAGTTTAATTTTATTCAGCCTGGCTGCTTAGTTATAAACACAAGTCTATCACCCACCCCACATACGCAATTTTTTTTCCAAGCGTTTATTGGCAGTTATGCAAACGAGAACGAATTCCTACAATGTCTGCAGAACGAAGGTATTGTTTTTTTACTATTGAATACCAAGCAATTTCAGTGACCATTCTCCTGTTTTTTTAGTATGTAAATAAAAATAAAAGTGATAAGCACCATTCCACTAGCACGCATCAATGTCACGTGGCAATTATAGTACGTAACTTCTGCGAAATATGCGATCTCTGTTCACTCTTTAAAACATCATTCCTAATTCACCGAAATCCGTAATTTAGCATGACAGAATTGTTTTTCTACATATACGTGCATAGAACTAAAGAATGTGATAAAATTGTAACCTTAGAAACAGACTTCAGGTGAATTTAAGGTTACCATGCATTCTTCTTTGTCATTGAGGTTACTAAAGGAATTCCATTAATTTTCGAAATCGACACGATGAAAACTTAACTAGCTGGTGATTACCTCGAAGAGATTTATGGGCCAATTTAAGCCGAACTATTCTTTTTGCTAAGTCCATCCTGTAGCAACGGTGTCGCTTTATTAGTCGCTTGGCTTTATATCGCCAACGAATAATTAAATTAGTATTAACGAAGTGGATAACGGAGGTTTAATATCTAGCATTAACAAAATAATTTATTATTTCAAATGGCGGGCGTTTTGAATATTTATCATTAGCCATTTAGCTGACTTTGGGCTTCGCAGATGGAGGAAAATCAAAGTGAGAACAACTCGGGAGGGGGAACAGAAGAGTGATTCACAGCTGTAGAGGAGACAGACAGACACAAAGGCAGAGAAAAGGTGAGATGAGTACTGTTGAAGCTGCGTAATATGACATACAGTGGGGTGATGGCAGTTTGAAGTCAGAAGTCAGCTGCCGGTTAATAGACTTTTTGCCGTATGAGTATACGTTGCCCAGGGTGCACCACGTGGAGGTAAGTCTATCGCACACTCCAAACAAAATACGAGACAACTACTTCGTCTATCAGCAGTGAATAGAGTGAAAATATGACTCTAAAATGTGACAATCACTGTAATCTATACTCTAGATCAATAAATGGCATTCATAATAATGTCCAGGTGTTCCATCGTAAATTTGAGAGTTTATACCCGATTCATCTAACGATGACATTTATGGGTTCCACGTTATAGTATATTTTTGCGCTTTCAAAAAAATCAAACCTTTTCTTTCATTGCCGATTGTCACAGAAATCCACTAGCGTATGGAAAAACAACGTTGGAAGCATGTTGTGAAAGGAAACGTTTTGCGAACGGTGATGTTGCATAATTTTTCCATGAAAGGTTCAATTTATAGCTTGTTAATTTATAATCCACAGAGTCTAGCTATGCCCCCTCATTTTAAACGTAAATTGATCCAAATCTCCAGGTAAAGTGGAAGACACGAGAGCGTTGTTTGGGGAGCTATATTAAGAACACATTCAATGTGTAAGTAGTATGAAGATACGAATTATACTGGAGGTGGTTAGTGTGTTTGTTTACACAGGATCACAAGCAGGCTTTAAGGCAAGCAGACGGCCAGGAGACAAGTTAATTTGAATCGATAAATGGAGAGTTCTGGTTATGTCACCAACGCCCTATTAGAAGTGCATTTGAGTTTGGTAAATGATGACAGGGATCAAACTAGGTTGAGAACAATGCTACTCAAATTATTTTTTCTGTAAGTGTCGCACACTATTTTCAAAATGAGGTAGCGCACATTTCAGAATTCTAATTTTATGATTCGTTCTCTTGATGGCGAGGCTGTTTCGGGATTTGTGGTTAAATAATAGGGCATTGTAAATTGCCGATTTCACTGCTATTTCTGCAACTTCTCGAGGGAGCTTTGATTGTCTTTGTCAAAATTTATTTAGGTTTGTCAGGCTTACTTCATATAACCCAAAATGTCTTCCAATAGTTGAATTTACTTCTTCATACTAATAATGATATTTTTCAACACTGTAGAGACCACTAAATTTGCATCTAAGGGACTCCTGTATCCGGAAATTTGCATGGTATAACCAGCGACGATATGAATGCGCCCATTTACTAACATTTTTATGATTATTATGCAAGAGTTATTGACCACTTTCCATTCAGACAATTAGCCCAACTTTTATATACAGACATGCTTCCACAAACACCGAATGTTTTTTTCAAAGAAGAGAAAGGAGTAGGAACTACCAGATAAATAGGTTAGGGGGGGGGTGGGGGAAGGGGCATCTGGAAACCGCTCTTTTAGGCCACCCACTTCAGTGAATTTACGCTGACTTGAGAGCTCTTCTTGTTGGTCCCTGCACCACCGCCTATGCTGGCAGTCACTTTGCAGAAAGGATCTTGGGTAAATCTAGCATTAGCATTGCCTATGGCCTTGAAACTTTGACAAGTTCCAATCACGGAAGCTGTGCTTCAAGGGGTGGGGGAGGGGTTTGGCAGTAGTAACTAGGTAATGAAATGAAGACAGCATAAATCCAAAATGATAGCACTCATTTAATTTTGGGGCGAATTCCAGAATGTTCAAAAAAATTTTTCTGCCCTAACTTTGACCATGGACTCAAAAATTATGTCACATGGCCGATCAATTGCAATCCAATCTTTCTTGAATAGCATTAAGGTTGTTCAATTAATGAATTCTACATTTCATCTTATTTAGACCACATTCTATCGTTCAGGTCCTATTTCACGCCTATTGCGTCTGATATCATTCTATTTAGGTATTTGATAATATTGAGGCTCTCCAAACGATATGGTCTGGTTCACATCGAGATACGTTTTTACTATGACCTCTAGGTAGACAAAGTCTACGAACGACTCCACCCATAGTGATCTGCATCGTAATTAGCCATTAACACGGTAAAGACAAGATCTCAGTAAATCGAAAGATTGGCTTTCATGGAAAGAAGTCAGTAAACCTTGTTACTTTCCACTGGCATTTCTATTTAATCAACTTACTTTCTCGCACTCTATTGGAAAACTTCCATCTTGAATTCCTTTAATCAAGGTTTTTTAAATTCAAAAAAGGAAATTTTCTCTCGCACTGTTCATCTATCGATTTTCTAAATCAATAGTAAAATTGGAGCGGATAATTCATAATAATTCCCACTTTTAATACATGTCTAAATAGTATGAGTTTATACGAAAATTAATAAACATTCTCACTACGTAGCTTGATGGTCATTCGGTCTAAGTCGATTTAATTTTAGGCGAAAAATGAATTCATAGTCCTTTCAAATTTTACAATTTGTTTTACAAATTAATTGGTTTCAGGTGTACTTCTACTCCTCTCCAAATCCCATAGCCCCACTTCGTCTTTCACTCTGCACTACAAATCATACATTGCCAAATTATTTGACCTAAAAAATGCGCCAATAACAATCAATTAGGCCAGACTTTGGATGAAAGTATCAAGTCGATAATATATAATGAGAAAAAATTAATCATAGTGCTCTTTGACGAAATTTATAATTTTTCCGCATTTTCCACTGATAATGACTATCGATTCCCAAATTGTTTGCGTTCCTTCCAATACGTTATAAGTCAAAAAAATTACAATGAGTTAAATAATAGCAACATATAAATCAGTAAAGCCTTTAGTACATAGAGGGGTATCGATTTTCTCAGTAGTTGTATATAGGCGAGTTGAGGGGGGAATCGATAAAACCCCTTTACTGATAATTAGAATTGGTATCGTATTTAGTGGTAAAATTTGTGGAAGTCAGTAATAAAAGGCGCACACACAAAAATTAAATTTCACGTTCTCCAGAGAAACGACGAGCTCTCTGGAAGTAACTGTGTTTCAAAGCTTGAGCGGCAGTGTAGCGTTTCTCGGGGTCACAGACGAGCAGTTTGCCAACTAAATCCACGGCTGATTTAATGGCTACTTTTTTGTTTGAATCGTTTATGTAACTCCGAAAATCTATTGCCTCGATATTCATGAAGGCCTTATCACCTTTGAATTCCTGATTGTCATACTTCATTATCGCATCAAGCATGGGGCCTGAGCCAACAATTCGGGTAATTTGAAGAAGAATATCCCTCTTTTCGCCTCCATTGAAAAAGTGTCTTTGATGAAATACTGCACTGGCCAGGACACATCCAACAGACCACATATCCACAGCGAAATTATAACGCTAAGTAGAGAAATAAACACAGTTAATGTATGCATTACATTTCGGATTTAGATACTATTATTAATAATGATGTCATGCCCACTTAGAAACACACTTCCCAGAACTCATCGTGCATGGTTAGTGACATCATACAGTGTCTTTCTGCTGATGGACTCGAAAGACATTAGCCAAACTTGACCTCTGACATGGTTGCTGAACATGGGAATCATTAAACTGTCTACAAATTATAATTCATTCAAAATAATAGTCGGGAGTGATCAGCCCAAACTTGATCTCTCGAAATAAAAAAAATTTGTTGTACTCCTTTCAGTCAACAATAAAGATGAGCTGAACTTACCGAACCCGAAAACGCAAACATTGGTGTGCTTATCATTTATTATGCTTGGTGTGTGCAAAAGATATCGATTTCAGGAAACAAAGCCTATTTAACTCTCATTCAGTTGAAGCGTTACTATTTGGAATTCGATTCAAATTAGATTGTCAACATCTGTTCATGCTTTATTAAATTCCGTTGTGCTTGAATTTGCCTCTTGAAGATCTGGTGTTAATCGAAGAGGATAACAAACGACAAACAATAATCACGATGTGGGGATCTAAATAGTTGTTTGACAACAGTTCCTCCTATTTTTCTCAATCCAATTACCACCCTTCAACGATTTGAACCGTCTACCGACTCTAAATCGATGTCTACAAAGATGTAATTTCTAGTCACCTCTTTTCTCAAACTACATTACAGTGTTCTCAACTATCTCTCTGCCCCCTCCCTCTCTTTCTCTCTCTCTCTCCCTCTCTCCCGCTATCATGGATTAAAGTACTATCGAAATTCAATCCTTTACCATGCACGTACTCTTTGTAGCCGAGTCGTCAGCATGTCTCTACTTTAGTTTCGCCAGTGCTTCTCCCTCATCCAATATCCGATACTCCCTTCTCATAAAAAATGAAATTAGAAAATACTGCGAAGCATACCTTGAAGCCAAGATGCATTTCTGGACTCCTGTATAGACGTGTTCCAGCACCCGCCTCGTAGTCCTTGCCATGTCGGTAGTAAGTTGCTTGTCCCCAGTCCACCAACCGTAGTTGTCTACGCGCCGGATTGATAACTAAGTTGCTGGGCTTGACATCTCTGTGCATGATTCCAAGGCCATGACAAGTATGTAGGGCTATCAGCAAGTTGTAGATGTAGTACTGTATTTCTGTGCTTTTCAATGAATTGTAAAGATATTTCCAGGGTGTAAAATCCACAAACTCGAACACAAGCACTGCGAATTTGGGCTGTAAAGAAATGGTATTAGGTAGAATTAGTGATTACTAAAAAATGGAGAAAATAAAGACAATATTTAAAGACTTGACCCCAGTCTGCTCCGAAATACTTGCCATCAAAAAGTTTAATATGAGACGAAAGGCGGATATAGAATATACGCAATATTACCTATCCTCATCCTCCTCGATGAGAAGGAAGACTGTGATCATTACGACGGGACAGTCACTCTCTGCCACTGTTTTGCCATCTCTGTGTGTGAGAGAAAGAATTTCTCTCATTCGCTGAGTATACAGAGTAGTTACTACTGTAGTTATTGGCTCTACTGATAAACCGTTACTTCCATCGCAGACGGATTGTTTTAATGAATAGAAGAAAAAGCAATTGTTTGAGCTGCAGGTCAATGCACCGCATAGAGCTGTTATGGCGGTCTAGACTGAACCAATGATAAGATAACTCAATGTCACTATAAGGTGATTAGAGCAGCCACTTAGGAGTCATTACTAGGCTAGTCTATGAAATTGACAAGAAAAAATAACAGTAAATTGCTGAGTATTCTGCACGGATGTAATTTGGCTTACAATACATGATATTCAATCGCAAGACAGGCTAAATGGACCACTTTAGAGGACTGGATAGGGGGTTATATTGAGCTAGAGGTTGATATGAGCTCGATCGTGCAATATGTACAGTTTGATCGTATTGATTCTCCTGACTTAACATTGATGTCACTCAATCTATTTAATAACTGCGAACTCAAATAGCGTGCTTAGAGCTTATGTGAACATTTCCAATACAATCAAAAATCACTTCATTTCGTCTTTTAGTAACGAAATAAATGTAGACTTCAAGCACTTGCAAATATTAGCATCAGCAAAACAAAAATGTGGGAAAATGATCGAACCAGAATGCTGAGCTAATCATGCGTTGGCTTACAGTACGCAATTCTGGCTAATGCTTTAAGAGCCATGCAATGACCAATGCTTAGAGGCCACGGGAATACCACCAGACTCACCACCCCCCACCCAACACATGGAACTCACTGAGTGTTGCACTCAGAAGGAAGGGTACATTGGGGGGTGGGGGTAGAGGGGGTAGGGGGGGGGGGGGGGGGGGGGGGGGGGGGGTGGGGGTGTAGTAAATGAGGTAGGGGAATAAACTTTCAAAAGTTCAATCAAAAAGCGTCAATTATTGACTAGGGTAACCACCTTTCAGTCTAGTTGACTTGTTCAGAGTTTGAATACTATCGGGTAAATTGACATAAGTCTGTGTGAAGAAGTGTCGCTGTAAACTCTTTAAAATGACCATTTATCTCCTAAAGATTTAAATATTTCTAATCTATAGGCTTTGATGGCACAAATAATCAATGACTCTATGTCGATGTACAGAAAAGTGGAGTTTCACTAGGCGGAAATATAAAAATAATGCGTGATGTTTGAAACTGAACAACTCTTCACTTAAATTGTACCTGAAACAAACTCTTTGATGGCTAGAAAACGCCCCACATTACCCCCTCCCCCCCCCCCATAATAAAACGAAATCGAAAATGTTACGATTTCACTTTTGAAGAGGAATATAGCGAAATATTTCCAACAAATTTCTATAGCGACTGTGGCTTCTAACGGTTTCATTAAAGTGATCTCGCTATTAAAACTAATAATAATAATAATAGAAAAGTTTTAAGTAGACTTAATACCTAAACTCCACCAAACACGCTGACATTACCGTTTGAACGTTATTAACAACACAGTCAAATAATTTAGGGTCAATGACTAGCAATTAAAATAGGCCATAACTATATTCGCTTTTAATGGACCCATGCTGCATATTATTAAAAGTTTTAAAATGGCATTTAGAAATTCATAAGACTTACTGTCAAGATGGAGCCGTAAAATTTGATCACATTTGGTACTCCTCGAAGTTTTTCAAGCATTGCACATTCGTTGACGAAATCCTCACGGTTATTATCCTTCATTATCTTCACCGCCAGATCATGGCCTCCAAAACTGCTCTTCACCCTGTGAACTTCGCCGAATGAACCCTCTCCCACACAGCTAATAAATTTGTAGTCAAAATAAGGCAAGTATTGGGCGTTCTCAGTACTAGTGGAAGAGTTACTGCTGCCATTCAGACGAGGCCTACTTCCGAATCGCACAGATTCAGTCTGGTCGTAGCAATGGTTCTTGAAATAAGGATGCGATAAAGCCTGTTGAGCTGTGATCCGACTGAATGGATCAACTGTCATTAATTTAACCATTAAATCCATGACTTCATAATTCATCCCTGTTAAACACCTGTAATTTCCTGATTTAGAACCAAAGATACACGTCTTCAAAGTGGTGTCAATTCTGATGTTGTTCGATTGGACGTAATTCACGATACGCTCATTACCCACCACCTTTATTATCGCCTCCAATTGACTAACTCGATCTTTGGCTCGATAGAAAAGCAGTGGATCTAATAGCATAACACATGCGATCATGCACCCCACAGGCCATAGGTCTACAGAATAAAACGTACTCTTATTGTGGGGTTTAAACAAAAATCGAAATCACCTTACCGGTCCATGTAGAAGGAGTTCGGGACTCAAATACTCACAAGACTGTGGATTAAAATGAAATTGGTCAATTGAATTCAAACACACGGCATTACTCCATCCACCGAGTTGGAGGTGTTTCCTACTCGGGTCGATAAGCAAATTTTCAGGCTTGACACCGCGATGGGCAATCTTTTTGTCATGACAACAAGCCAATGCCGTTATAAGTTGATGTAAATAGTGTTTGAAGTCTTTTAATGTTAGCAAACTTTGTATGTTGTACCAGGAAACACAATTTACATATTCGAGGGTTAAAAATGCATATGCAGGTCGCTGAAAGTGAAAGAAAACGAGTTACTACTACCAAATTTGTGCACTTACAAAGTTTGTATTTATGGATCCGATTATTTGCGCTATATTCGGACAGCCTCGAAGCGATTCTAGGATGGCGATCTCACGAGGCTTTTTATCTTCATTTGTCAATGGAATCATCTTAATCGCCATGTTCACTCTATTCCGTTGATCATATACTTTGTAAACTGTGAACGCTGCGCCAGGTTGTGAAAGAATTCCTTCAACTGTCATCTCAAAAATATCCGTTGATTTCACAACCATTGTACAAGTCGCTGGCGTCAAAGTTATTGGACTTCTGACTGCGTGATATATATTGTTAACTGATATTGTAGGTAAAACAACTGATTGGTTCATTGATAAGTTCAAATTCACGTTTACGAATCGTTTATTAATACTGCTTGTACAGTGCAGTTTAATTAGTTGAACTTCAGGACACACGCTTTCAAAGGTAAGAGCTGTTCGGTTAGCGAACCGAGTTGCACTCACTTCAAATTTTTGTTTAAACAGCATTCGAGACAAGTTTGAAAGTTAGCACTTCGAAATCATCTAAACTGACTCAAAAATTCCTTGTTTGAAGTAGATATCTCTTTGCTTTATTATCATTCAAATTTTTCCCTATTGTGGCAGTGAGACATGCAGTTCATACGGTAGGGTATCCGCCAATGTTCCCCTAATTTTATCTGTTCTAAACTCTGTGGCAGACTGCTTCACTAACTAGGCTTGACTATACTCAGTAATCTCAATAACAAATTCTCCACTGTGTTTGAAAAGGCTCCCTGAATTGGCTAAGCTTCCACAAAGCTATAGAGGAAACAGACGCATCACGTGGAAGACTTTTGCTTGGGAAGTGTTTTATGGACAGGACAATTAGTCACAATTTCCACGTTCTGGAATGATAATTACGTAATGACATCAGCCATTGGTTGGTCGGATAACTACGTGCGGGCTTTGCTCGTTGATCGGTTGAGAGGCCTCTGCTTTGTAATGCTATAGTTGTGTTCCCCGCAAATCTTTTTCGAAGTGTATGCCCGTTTTTTTCGCAAAGTACAACAAAGTATAAAAGAATATTTTAAAGTTCAAGTGAGTTCTCAAAATTAAACAATGCTTTTGTGCACTTTTTATTTCTGCTATTTATTTCCTTTCGGCAAAGAGGGGGGGGGAGTTTCCAAAAATAAGATGACCTAAAATGATTCAACTGTCTCGTATGTGGAAATAACTTAAACTCGCACTAATTTTCAAGGGGAAAGGCAATTTGCATCGGTTCTATTAGTTTCAACGTGTTAAAACGCCTAAATTCAATGTAATTTTGAACAGGTCTAGTAGCAATAGATGTACTTGACTCATCTCCAGTGAATGCGGTGCTAAAGTAAAATTATAACCTATCCACTCTCTACAATAGAAAAAGTATAATCTGACCTATGAAAGTTGAGAATATTTTGCTTCAGTAGCCAATGGGTGAAATGTAAAATGGAGCAGCGCATATCTACTAACCAATATCGATAAAACATGCATCGAGCATCGTAGACCAGCATTAACGGCAATTAATACGACGAATCATGAACCTTAAACTTTGGAACCCATTTAGCAACCATAGTACCAGAAATAAGATATCGATTAAGTAAAACTCTATGATACGTTAAAAAGGGCGTGCGATAGACTTACTTCCACGTGGTGCACCCTAGGCGATGTATACTCATACGCCAAAAAGTCTATTAACCAGCAGTTGACTTCTGACTTCAAACTACCATGACCCCACTGTATGTCATATTCGACTACTTTCACAGTACTCACCTCAGCATTTTTCTACCTATGTTTCTGTCTCTAACATCATCTTTGAAATACTCTCCCGTTCCTCCTATCTTTCACCTTTTTTTTCACTTCGATTTTCCTCCTTCTTCTCTGTGAAGCCTGAAGTCAGCTAAAGAGCTAATGATAACTATCAAAACGCCTGCCATTTGATATAAAATAAAAATAAATATTCGATGTTTCTCCAGACAAACGTTTGGTTGATTCAATAATCCTGTGTTTTGAGGTAGGTCTAGACATGGAGAAAAATGCTGAGACTCCAGTATCTAATGGAATGTAGTCCTAGTCCATATGGTACTAACCAAAACTTTATATTGCCGAGTTAAAGATTCCTCCTAACCCCTCCCCCTTCCCCAATAGTATTTATTTATTTATTTCAAATGTCAGGCTTTGTGATATTTATCATTAGCCCTTAAACTTTGACTTCAGCTTCCCCCAACTGTGGGGGGGGTACTTTTATAGCAGTTAATTAGTAACAGTTCACTAGCCGTCTTCTTGCTTCCCAGTATCTCTGGCTTTCCGTCCTTGT